CAATGCTAACCATTGCACCACTGTGCCACCTTATTATATTATTTTTTTTCTGTAAAAAATGTGGATAATAAGTTGAAATATCATTACATTATTATAGTACTGTAGAACTTTAATTAATAGCCCGGACTATTTGCTAAAATCACTGAAATAAACAGGCCTATATTTGGGACAGGCCTTTAATTCTTTTCACACAAAACTGTCGGTCCGCAAAGATCTGAAAATATTATCATATTGTTTATTTAAATCAGTATGAAATTAGGCTTCAGATAACATATCAGTTATGAATCATTCATTTGATCTAGCTCCAAGAGAGAGAAAGAGAGTTAAGGCACTCGAGGATTACAGTGCCCGCCGGCATACGGACACAACACCACTTTATCCTGTTAAAACAATACACACAACCTGGATACGTTTTTATGAAAAGTCTTGTTTTGAGTTTTGAGTCTTTTGATCTGAGGACACCTACGGTCCAAAGGAACATGAATAATTTACTGGGTAATCTGGAATGGGAATGGGATCTGGAAGGGAATGGACGCATAATTTAAGGTAGCCAACAACCTGCTTTTATAGATCCAAAACAACCCGGTCTCACTCTGAAGTCGTGGAAATCCAGTGCTTGGGCAGTGACTTTCAGCATCAGACACTGACGAAAAAAGTCATTTAACGTTGGCATGATACACAGCCGGTTGCCGTTATAGTTAAATGGTGCTTGGCGGCATCAGGGGGTAACATGACGGGACAAGAACGAAAGTTAAGGTGAGGAAAGTGGGTAGGGCAGGTGGGAGAGGTGGTGAATGGGTCCAACAAACAACGACTTTCACCCGAGAGAGCAGTGTTTGCGTCCTGTAAGATTATAAAGCCAAACCCTGTTCTTTTTCCTAAACCCAACCATGTGAGTTAGTTGTTTGAGGAAAAAAACATCAATTTGCATTGTTATACTGACGTAGTGCTTTTATTTTGAAAGAGACTGTATCTAAACAGTAAACCTCCCAATGAAAACGGAAGTGTATATTGAAAGAAGGCAATGCATGTAACAGGCAGAACTTGACACGACGTCCCAGAACGTCAACAACCAACTCAGTCAGGGTACCTTTCATGTCGTTTCTAGACATGGAAAGTCCATGACCAAACGTCATGTGATGTAATGAGGTCGGAGTCAGAAAAACTCCTATTAAAAAAATGAACTGCTTGGCAACCAGACCGGGCATCTAATTGAGACATGTTTATTTGTCAAAATGTGTAGCCACATCGGGCTAGTAAAAGGGACTGGGCTTTTAATTGAAGTTTTACGGTAATTATAAATATTTTAACAAAAGGATCAATTTCTGCAGCGGCACCAAACAAGCCTGGTACTACCACTGGCTGATGTATGAAAACAATAATTAAAGCACATTTCTTTTACTTTTTTTTGGTCTCAGATAACACAAACTTCTAGTTAACACGTCTTGACAGACCTGATTGTTTTCATGGATGTGCTTGTGGTATAGATACCTACTGGCTTTGACTCAGCTGATGGAAAAAGATTCACATTAATTTTTTTGTAACGTAAAAAAAAAAAAAAAAAAAAAAAAAGAATCTCTGAAACTTTGTCTGACAGCTGGATGGAAACGTAACTGTTGTCTCTAATCCTCCACAGTGAGTTGTCTGAGGCCACAGTTTGAGACAAAAACAGGTTTCGGGGCATCGTGTAATCTCTCCTTTTCTATCCTGTGGCCACAGCCGGTGGTGTGTGTCTGTTCGCTGCTCAGGCACTAAGCCATTGTTGTGAGCAGTGGGAGATACAAACTCAGTGATGCAGGGAGACGGCTGCTGCGTGGGCCTGCCGAGCTGAAAAAAAAAAAAAAATCCTGGAGCCACTCCAACTTAATTATAAAGAAATATGACAAGGGAGTCTAAAAGGGCTGTTGCAAAGATTAGCGCTGGTTACTTTTATTTTCTCGTTGCCTCCAGTAATTGCAGTTATTAGTCGTCAGCACGAAACAAATTTAATCACATTTGGGGGAATTAATTAACATCTCTGTTTATTTGTGAGGAGTGATACTGTCCGTGGCAGTTTTTTTTTTTTTTCTTTTTCCCATTCCTTGCTTATGTGTTATGGCGGGAGGCCAATTTTCAGACTCTCAGTAAAACTAACTCAGTTGAGGAGAGTCTTTTCTGCTGGTGTGTGTTCTGGATGAAGTACTAAAACAACAAATTAAAAGTTAATCACCGGTGCTATCAACGAGACTACACACACAAATGTGCTGCTGCAAACAGAAGTCGCACACTGGTCACACACACCCTGTGGCTAACACACTCATGACCATGACAACAGTCTGAACTTCATTTTTCCAACAACATATGTTAAGCGGTCATAAGCAAAGCACAGTTTCTGAGCAAAGTTGTGTTGCATAAATATGGTTGAGAAAAAAAAATTATCACTGAAAATCACACTGAATCTCAAAGTGTGTATTGTGACACTTTGCATATAACGGGTGGCACACGACTCCCCAGGGGTCCATGATTCTCTCTGACATGACTAAAAATATTTACCCTGTTAATCACACATTTTAATTTTGAGTTCTCTTTCATCTGCTGCTAGAGTGCCAAAAATATCATGTATACAAACCCTTGTGAATGCCTCTCATAAAATCTAATTTTTTTCTAATCAGGCAGATTTACTGTCTCTGCACCTGTGCTAATGCGCAGTAATTGCTTTTTTGCCAACTTGATTTTGTAAGTTTATAGGTATGTGCAGTATGTTATGTGTATGGACAAAGTGACTGGCAGCAGGTTACACTTCAAACACACTCGACCTCTGACCTCAGATTAAACCTTGACAACCAATAAAACCAACAGATTTTTGTAAGATATTTTGACAGCATGGAAACTAGAGAAAACACAGAACGTTATCTGTGGCTCGGTTCCTTTAATGTCTCTGTTAGTTGCAGCATCAAACAGCAAAGACCTGAATCCAGCTCACATTAAAATAATTATTAGCCTTAATAAATGCCTACATAAGAAATAACTTGCTCGCTCACTCAGATTTCAAATGAGACTTGTGAATTATCATTTAGCTTCATTACAGATGGCTGAAGTGTGTCACATCTGTGCAAAAGGCAGAGGCCCCAGAACAGAGCCATGCCACCAAATATTATACTACAAATGGAACTTAAGTTTTCTTTGACTAAAGTGTTCCTGACTGAACAACTCTACAAAGACAATGATACGTTTTATATACTAATCAAGTCCTGCTAATCCCAAATAGCTAGGAGAAATTGAAAGTGCATACCAAACAAAAGCTCGGGTCACATGAGTATAAATACTAATAATAAAGGAATGGACACATATTCAGACTATATGACCTTTTCAAAGGTAAAGATCAACTTGTTTTTTTTTTGTCCATCCCAGTAAATCTGATTGAATTATATGTTGGTGCTCGTGGTTTTATTAAAATGAACTTAACGATTGAATTATGGAGAATCTAACTGAGCTAACAATGTGTAGCATCTCCATACTGCTTGAGTGGGTAGTCAACAACCCACTGGGCTATAAGAGGTTTTGTACATTTGAAGAATGGCAACCCGACCCGGCGTCTCATTGAGACCTGTGTTTATTTTATTAAAATGTGTAGCCACACCCAGCTAGTAAAATGGACTCAGCGTTTAATTGAGGCTCAGCGTTTAATTTAAGTTTTACGTTAATGTATAAACCACTCTCCATAAGAGAAGTGGAATAAGTTAGTCCCAGAGAAGAAATATAACAGCGGAGTCCACACAGGCTGTTAATTAGCGCTGTTTGCCTAATTATTTTCTCAATGCCTGCAGTAACTGCAGTTACTAGGCGTCAGCAAGAAACAAGTTTAATTGCATCGGCAGGAAATATTTAACATCTCTTCGCATTTGTGAGGGGCGATACTGTCTGTAGCAGTGACAGGGGGTTTATTCAGTCTTGTTGCAGGAGGCCATGTTTCAGGCTCTCAGCGTAACTAACTTAGTTGAGGAGATTTTTTTCCACTGGTGTCTCTTCTGGGTGTAAATATGAAAATAAACTGCAACGAGAAAAAATACACCTCATCACTGAGTCTTTACACATGTTCTTAAATGGACACTGTCTCACACATTTGCCACACATATCCACAAGTAGTGTTTCACGCCGTTTTCATCTCTTATATGCACACACACGCACACTCAGGCATGCACACAACTATGGCAACTCGCAGACCAGTCAGCAGTCTGTGAGAGAAACTTAATTTAAACAACATTTAGCAGTGACGCAAGCCTAGCCGTCATTAGCATAATGTATTCCTTGATAATCGGTGTGCCTCCAGCTACGATGACTCTGCTTCATCACTAGCCGCCTGTGCGGCGCACACACCAACACGCACGGACACACACACCCTCACTTCTGCTGTGTTAGTTAAAGTTCTCGGGCCCACGGCCGTGCATCGAACCCAACAGGAGGGTGGAGAGTGAACCCCCAGGGCTGCGCTGTAGGGGTCTACATATATTTAAAACAATCATGAATTTTAATGGTAGCCCGCCGAGGGAGGCTGTTTTACCAGCCAGCCTCAGCCCCACCCCCACACACACACTTTCTCTCTCTTTTTGTATATCTCTTTCTCTCATTCCTCTGGCAAAATCCAGGCAGAATTATTAATACATGACATGAAAATGTAAAAACTGGCCCCCGGTGGCGACAGCGAAAAGAAAATGGTGTATTAAAGGGAAAGGAAAGGAAAGTCACAGCAGAGGAAAGGAGAAACAGAGAGAGAGAGGTGAGAGAAGGAGGGATCGGGATCAATGCGTGAGAAGGGAATGATGTATCAAGTCAGGCTGTGATATCTACTGTGTTGTCTTAACACTTAACAGAAGTGTTGAGGTAGGTTGGCACCCCTCGTGTCTGAGATACAGAGAAACCAACACAGCACTAACTGAAAAAAAATAGGGAACAGAAAGTTTAAATAAAAGTATAGAGACACAGGCAGCAAGTGGAAGGAAGAGAAAAAGAACTGTACGTACTGGACGGCAGTGGAGATGTGCAAACGTCGGATGCCTGGTGTGGGAAACTGACGAGAGTTTATGTAGGAAACTTTCCTCACAGCAGCGTTCATGTTTTCCAAGTCCTCTCCCTCCATTACCAAGATAGACTGGGCCGGGTTAAAGTGGAACTATATGGAGAGAGAAAACAGAGATGTTAGATGGAACCTGAAGCAGTTTGTGATAAAATGTCAACACAAACGGAGCCATTTATAGCTGCACTCAATCAGTTCCAGTCGAGATGCAGTAGATTTGTCCGGCGTCTGGTATGGACCAAGATTTGCTGTGTGGAAATGTGATTAATTCTGAAACTACATTCTGATGCAGGGGATGTCTTCAAGTCAGGGCCTCGAGATCTGATAGTTAAATCGAACTCACCATAAACCTGTATTCATAGATTTTGTTGGCTACTTGGGGGCAGCGCAACAAGCTGTACACACATCAGTTACATGTCATCTCTATGTGAAGTTTTTATGGTGAACATGTAAGCAAGGAGTGGCCAAATGGCACAGGGCAACATCAGCAGTCTATGTAAAACTAATGCAGTCTAATACATACATATTAAGGATCACTGTAAATTTAGTATGTTTATTTGTTCTATATACACGACATCTATTGCACGTCTGTCCATCCTGGAAGAGGGATCCCTCCTCAGTTGTTCTTCCTGAGGTTTCTACCGTTTTTTAACCTGTTGAAGGTTTTTTTGGAGAGTTTTTCCTTATCCCCTGTGAGGGTCCAAGGACAGAGGGATGTCGTATGCTGCAAAGCCCTCTAAGGCAAACTGTGATTTGTGATATTGGGCTTTAGAAATGAAATTGAATTTAATTAAATTGATATAATGAAACTTAAAGCAAATTAATATCAGAGGATTGGCTAAATAACTGAAACACCGTATAATCCGATGAAGTTCAACAGCACCCTTTCACGTTATATACTGTCATTTAATCTATTGGTATTATAAAAATATTAATTAGATGTATTGATTTTGAGATGCATACTCCTAAACACAACTTACAATTAAATTAAAAAAAGAAAAAAGTGTGGCAAGTTTGGAACTTTTCAGGGATATTTTGCCCTTCTGGGGTCCATTTCACAAAGCAGGTTTAGTGAAAACTTTGAGTCTGTTAACCCTGAAATGAGGGAAACTCTGGGTTTTCCGTTTCAGAGAGGGAGGTAGCTTAAACCTGAGAAAGCGGAGTAACTCCAGCCCGTTTCACAAAGAGAGGTAACTGAAGCTCGGTGTCAGTTACTATGGCAACTGACTCTGTGAACCTAACCTGGTCGGGAGCAGGTTTTCTTCAATGAACCTCGAGTTTCTAGCTGTCTCCTCCCTCTTACGCCACGCACGCAGTGTGATTCATTCATTCATTTGTTTAGTGTCGCGCGGGTTTCAACGAGTTTGATCATCTGTCCTCAAGGTAAAGTTGGATCCTAAGGTGTGTTCTGGTTCTAAATCTAATTTTTTCGACCATGGCATGTCCGTTCTTGGAGGACCCTGTGGACGAAGAGGCAGTGTTACTGAGGAGGGAGTTACGCATTCGTCAGGAGATTATTCACAGGCCCAGAACTGACGTATTATCATATATCATATCATCCAGAACATTTTCTTTTTGAACGGTACCGTTTCATATCACAGTCCATCATTTATATCCATAACCTCATCCGTCGTGACATAACCAACGTCACCAACCGTGGACGTGCACTTTCATCTACCCAGATTCTTTGTGTTGCTCTTCGTTTTATTGCAAACGGGAGTTTTCTGTATAATATCGGAGATGCAGAAAATATCAGTAAGGCCACTGTCTGCAGAGCCGTGAGAAAAGTGTCCCTAGCTCTGAAACGTCTACTCTTTTGTTGTGTTCCCTGGACATAAACCTGTGAGGGTCATCAAGGAGGAGTTCCACAGGATTGCAGGTGAATGATGTAGAAATCAGTTAGTCATTTTAATTTCTTTTAGGATTTCCCGGTGTGATAGGGTGCATTGATGGAACCCACATTCCCATCATTGCTCCTTCACAAAATGAAGGAGACTGTGTGAATATGAAGTCCATTCACAGCATTAATGTGCAGGTAGATTGACTGTCTCAAAATGTCAGATTGCATCACACTGCAAAAACTCAAAATCATACCGAGATTATGTGTCATATTTATAGTCAAAACAAATCACACCTAAAAGTAACTTGTTTTGAGACCATTTTCACTTGGTGAGATTTCATCTAAGTGAATTAAATTTTAGCTTTAACACCATTCCACCTGTTTGCATCTGTAGCCTAATATTATTGTGATTGCATAAATATTTAAAATAAATTTAAACTTTCGCATTGACTCGAGCAGTAATTTTCTCCCACGCCGACTCCCGTTCCTTCGCTGCTGCAGCTGTGTTACTCTTCTTCCTGAAAACAGCTTCAAATTCGCTGTATGAGTGCATTAAAATATCCAACTCCAGCGGAGTAAAAAAAATGCAGACCTTTTCTTGTAGCTTGTTGCCATGGTGAATCGTGGTATCGGGGCTCCATTGATGACGGCTTTTTAAAGTCGTGGTGCATGCGCTTAACTCAGAGTGAACAAACTCTGTGTTGACTGAACCGATTGAAATCACCTGTTCTGAAACCCGTAACCCAGAGTTTCCCATCTCAGAGTTACTTAACTCAGAGTTCAGGGTTAGGCTCAGAGTTTGTTGAACCTCCTTTCTGAAACGGACCCCTGGTATGTCCTTTATTAAATTGAAAAACAAAAAACAAAACAAAAAAAACCCTACCATCTGTTATCTTGACCTGGTGGCACAAAGTGTGATTTTATTTTTTTTTAAAAAATTCTTTTCAACCTGGACCCTAGTTTACCATGTTTTTTTCTCTGACTAATGGAAACGACAATTTTTGTAATTGGCCCAGTATCGAACGAGACTGCTGCAACGGGGAGACAGATTGCAATGCAACAATATGGGGCATGTTTGCACCATCAGTTTATGTTCGTAATGGTTCCTACATGGAAAGGCCTTTTTGTTAAAAAACTGTTTAACTAAAAACACCAAAACCTCAATTTAAGTAAACAGTAATTTTATAACTGGAAAACACACTTCATTTAATGTTGATGGAAGCAACATAACACTCACAAAAAACATCTTTTCTTCTTTTCACTGTTCCAGCAATCACCAACTCTGGTTTGATTGCAATAAATCCTTACTTAACCCAGTTAAATGTGAGAATATGCTGACCTATACATGCTTAAATTATTGTTTATTTAATGGAGTCCTGTAGAATTGTCAGAGGTGATTTACAGGCAGATTCTGGATAAACAAACAGGATCTTACTCTTTAACAGACAGGTTTTTTTCTGTAAGGATCAGTGGCGATTGCTCTAAGACTGCAAGGGAAGCTCAGCTTCCCCTAAAATGTCAAAAAATAAGTGGTCAAATATGTACTGTTGTGTTTACATTTCATTGACTATATATGTTCTAGAATTCTTTCATCTTTTGTTCAGAATCAGCTACTTATCACAGGTCACTGACAAGACTTTCTTCTCATTCATTCCCGTAGCGTCACAGTGCATTAAACAGTGTTGAAGCTCAGCGTCCAAAGACTTCAGTGGGGAAGCACAGAGTGGGTTGTTCCACTGCAGCGAAACTAGACAGTCATTGGATAAATGCTCGGTTTTGTCCCGCCCATCGGACGCTCAGCGTCTCTGGGGGTCTATGGGGCAGTGGGCTGGCCTCGGCTGGCCTGGACGCTGGGCCTTGCGTAGCAGCCCCAGAGGGTAGAATTTACGTATAAATAAATGGACACATTTTATGATGTAGGCCAAAAATGAGCTTCCCCTCCTTGAAAGACCAGCAGCCACCACTGGTAAGGATGCTTTCCAGAGTGTCGCCAGACACATGTAGTCAGTGACAAAAACAAGCGCTTTTAGTGGACGTAAACTGACAGTGTGAACATGACCCGAGTGGTTACATTGCAGTCTGTTTTGTGGCTGTCAGCTGCAGCACGTCTCGTTCACTCTGTTTAAGGTGCTTTCACACCTGCCCTGTTTGGTTCAGTTCAATCAAACTCAAGTTCATTTGCCCCTTAAGTGCGGTTTGTTTGGGCAGGTGTGAACACAGCAATCACACTCAGGTGTGCACCAAAACAACCAGACTGAGACCTTCTTGAAGAGGTGGTCTCAGTCCGGTTTCAAACGAACTCTGGTGCGGTTCGTTTGTGGTGAGAGCATGTTCCGACCTGGATCTGAACCAACTGCAGTCACATGACACATTGTTTGGGTTAAACATGAGCATGTTACAGTCCTGGAGGATTATTAATGTGCACCTCCTCCTGTACTGCCTTAATATGCACATTCAGCACATCCAATGCATCAAAACATTGTTTTCTAGTTGGAGCCGCGCCTCGTTTTCAAACTGTATGGTTTGACTAAAATGAACAATGACAGCAATATAGTCCACGATGAGCAGTGCTAAAATCAACCTGCGTAGTTGTCCCTCCATTGTGACATTAGAAAGTGTCACATTTATCTTGCAAGTGTACTCTTCTTCAACATTTGCTTTACTTCCTGGATTTCTCCCACATGGAAATTCTGACCAATCAGGAGCAGCTCTCTCACACAAGGCATTTGATCTAGTCCGTTTGTAAATGCTGTAATTGTAATTGCACCGGTTAAAAGGTCCAAAGCATGCAGGGGCAACCCCAAATTTTAGTCAACCACTTCAGTCAGCCATTGATTTCTATTCATTTCACTGTGCAGTGGTAGAGTATGAACCTCAGCTTGCTGAGACTTGAAACTTACTTGAATCAGGTAATCCATCAAAGTGAACATCATGTTTGTGCTGCATTACCATGCAACTGTAACGTAACTTTGAAAGCAACATGTTCACTGTGATGGATCACCTATTCTAAGGTAGTCTCGAGCCTTTGCAAACAGATTTTCATTCTGTACGGAAATCAGTGGAAGGCAGAGGCTGCACAGATGACAGGAAGGAAAACAGTAGCATAATAGTAAAAGGAAATGTGTGTATTCATGAAGAAAACACTGGCATGGCCCTTTAAACCAAGAGAGGAAAAAACAGTCAGTGGACTCACCTCACAAGTACAGTCTGACAGAGGTGTGTGTTTTCCTGCAGAGTTTGATGGCAGGGATTTGAAGCCCTTCTTACTTTAAAGAGGGTTTAGTGGTCTCCTGCTAGAACTGCAGAGTGCACCTAGTGTCTCCCATTTCCTTAAACTGGCTCTCAGCAGCAGGGCGACGGTACTTCGGCACTCCACGGGGCTCTCCGTGCACTCCCTCTCCCCTGTCATTTTCCCCTTCACACCTTCCCTTCTCTTGCTGTCTCCTCTCATCTTCTGTTCTCTGTCGCTATACCTCCCGTCTATCTGCCTCAACCTCCCACCGTCTCTCCTTCCCTCCCTGTTATTCTCCTCTGATTGTGCTGTGCCAGTCCTGCACCTGCTTGGCTAAACTGTCCTTAAGCTTCCCGTGGACTTAAGGGAGCCAGACGAGTGTGCAGCTAAGAAGAAAATGAAATAGCTCTCAAAAGATAAATTACACTGGCTCTAGAGAGGTTGTCCTCCTCTCCTCTTCTCTCCTCATCCTACCTTGTCTTCTCAAAAGGTTGGCAGGGATCTCTTTGCTGCAACACAGCACAAGGAGCTCTACAGATTGAGCAGCAGAAGTGAAGGGAGACAAGAAGACTGAAGACAGAAAGACAGGGTAAGAGTTAAAGGAGCTGAGGATGGGTGGATAGGGGGCCGGCTTTGAGTCTACACAAACCCCTATCCATCTTGTTTGCCCTCTATCTTCCACAGTGCAGGGAGATGGATTAGCTGAGCTGCTGAAAGAGGGGTGGGAGGTGTCTGAGGAGTTTCAAGGAAACCAAGTGGTGATTTAGCTGTGGTAATTTAAAGAGGAAGTGTTTTTGTGTCGACTGGGATCAAACTGTGTGTTTCTGTGCATGTGCACACACCAGCGAGGATGTTGAATGTATACTCAGTATAGTGAGCACGGTCTCACTCTGAAGTCATCAACATCCGCTTGGGCAGTGACTTGTGGCATCAGAAACCAACGAAAAAGGTATCCTTTAACGTTGGCATGATACACAGTCGGTTGCCTTTATAGTTTAACGGTGCCCGCTGGTGTCAGGGGGGAAATGCAGCGGGACAAGGACAAAAGTTAAGGCAGCGAAAGTCAGAGTGGGGCGGATGGGTCCAACAAACACTGACTTTCACCCAAGAGAGCGATGTTCATGTCCCGTAAGATTCTAAAGCCAAACCCTGTTCTTTTTGCTAAACCTAACCACTTCCTTTTGTTGCCTGAACCTAATCCAAGTGTTTGTTGTTGAAGGAAAAAAATGTCAATTTGCGGTGTTGTACCGGCATAGTGGATTTATTTGGAAAGAGACTGTATTTAAACATTAAATTTCCTTTTGATAATGGAAGTGTATCTTGAAAGAAGAGAAATTGACGCAGTGTCCCAGAACATCAACAACAAATGCACCTAGGCTACACTGCACGTCATATGTGGACGTGGAATGTCCATGACCAAAACATCAATATGTGACGAGGTCGGAGTGAGAATGTTGTTAGAAAAACAACTTGAACATGTCAGAGATTGAATTTAAAGATATGTTAATCATTTAGGCAAATATGCTTTCTTGCCGAGAGTTAGATGACAAGATTGATACCACTTTCACGTGTAAACTGTGAATATGAAGCTATGGCACATAGCTTAGCTTAGCATAAAGACTGGAAACAGCTGGCCTGGCTAAGGTAACAAAATCCACCAACCAGCACCTCCAAGGCTCACTAATGTCCCAACTGTCACCACGTTATATAACATTTGTTTAATCCAAACGAAAACTGAATTGTAAAAATGATTGAACAGAAAATCCAACCTTCTGGGATGGTATACATTCTGTTCTTTTTGAGCATGTATTGTATTGTACTTGGGGCATATGGAGGACACAGTGCACAAGAATCGTTCAATATTTGGTCAAGATCCTCCTTGCTGCAGGAAGGAAAGCAATTACAAAGATGATGCTCCACATCACCAACAATGGCTGACCATCATAGACGATATTCAGGTGAGAATCTTACATACAGGACATGAATGAATGAAGGACAATTTGAAAATGACTAGGATAAAGATAATAATGCTGTCTAGGTAGAGGTTGGACTTGTTTACTTCTGCAGGCTCTGTTCAACCTTTTTTATGCTCTCGAAGTTTTTCATTTAATGTATATAGTCGAGCATTTTCTGTTGAAAATCCCTTAGATTTCCCACCTACATGAGGTATTCCTAGAAACAACTTCAAAAAGCAATTAAGTAAAGGGAGGAAAGACAATAGAAACCATAGGACGAGGTAAACCACAGCCACGACAGTTTATTTGTTTTAATTATTGAAAATTTGACTTATTTTCTATTTACCCTGGAGTTTCAATATTCATTGATTGAGGACTCAAAAAACAAAATACAGCAGGTGTAGCTGCACAAAAAACTTGGAAATGTTAGGATGGACCTAATGGAACCTGTTTCTATGTAAGAGTGTACTGTATCTCTGTAGACAAATCAATAAAAAGGAAATGTTTTTTAAAAAAAAAAGATTGATGAATAAATACCTACCTTTATGTTCTTATCCAGACTCTCGAGGGAGTTGATGTCTAGTCCCTCTTTGCAGGCCTGCAGACAGGAAATGACTTTCTGACTCTCGATCTTCCCCGGTCGGATGGTCAGTCCGGACAGGCTGCCCCGGAAGTACTGAGTGAACCGTGGCTTGGTCACCTCCCCACCTACACACACAACCATACACACACATATAGTGAAACAGTTTATGAGAGGCCTTTCTGAAATTTAAAGCACAAGTTTATTTGAGGCTTGTGGTGACACTATTGGCTAGAAGCAGTATTTGCTTTGGTGTTTATCTACCCATGTTGCTTTAAGCACAACAACAAAACCTACTGTACAACAAGACATTAAAGTATCTACCAGAGCAAACACAGTGACCCTTCACCCAGTCTTAACAATCATTATAATGGGTCACAGAAACCTCGCGTAGATATTTGTTTTGGGGGTTAGGGTTAATCTACAGTAATTACCATCAAGTCATGCTTGTCTCTGTTGGTATGTGGCACATCTAAGTCCCTTACACACTACAAGATCATCAAGCTAACAGTGACCTTATCCTCTTTCTAATTATAATCCTGATGACCAAATTATGACTATAATTGGCCTTAAGATGCATGTTTTGTGCCTCCGTTCTGTGACTAAGCAGCAGGGTGCTGCTGTAAAAGTGCAAGTGTTACTCAGCCAGCCCATCCAGGCGAGATAAAGGTAAGGAAAAAGTCAACACATTTAAAGCATGTTCTCTGAACTCCGTAAAGGCCAGTACCAGCCAGAAAAGTCTCAGAACCACTCATTAGCCGAAAGGTTACTAGCTTTGGGTAGCACAACTTCACCTTTATTTTCTCACTACCTCTTCCCTTCTCACTGCTTGGCTCCAGCTCTGACTGTAATCCACCAACGTACTGAAAGTACAGAACAGTCCCTCCATCTAATGACATTTGTTATAAAAAATAATCCTTACACAGTAAAACGTATTCATAGATTAAAAGGAGGATGGAGCAAAGCGAAGATTGATGGGCAAAGATATAGTGAAGGTAAGGTTTTTACTAAGAAGCAGTCTTTCTGTCTCTCTATCAATGCATCTGTTTAGCCCCTCTGCAAAAGTCTGCTCCCAAGTGATTGTTTGAGGCAAGCGGCAAAGAATGGCTTTTAGCATTCTTTTCTTGACTTCACCATTGAGATTGTGCGTACAGTAGTCAGTTGCTTTGTGCGCATTCACTGAGCTTACTGGGGACTGTCCATTGTTTCGACAGCCCAATATTCCGAAGTCACAAAAAGTTCCTTTGAACCAAATCCCTTTGACACCCTGGTATCCCTCCTAAAACCTCCAAAGGGCCATTTTTTCAGATGGCACTCACCGAAACAGAAGCACATGGCTAATTATTATGCAGAATGACATCATCGGACCTTATAACTTTGGCTAGCATACGTTGCCACTGTTGATTGGGTTGGTTAGGTTTAGGCATGAAGAGTGGGATTGGACAGGAATAGGATAAGAGGTTAGGATAAGAAGATAAAGGTAAGCCAATCAGAGGCAGAGTAGGGTAGGTGGTTAAAGGTGCATCAACGTCATTCTGATAGAACTGTCCATGTGCTTCTGTTTGGGAGAGTGTGTGGCATATTTTCGGAGAAACAGCTCTTCAGATTAATGGCCGTTTGTTTTGTGGATAACATGTTATTGGACAAACAGCATTTTGGGCCAAAAGGATATTTTTCCAGGCTATTGGGACTTCGGAATTATGAGCCATCAGAATAACGTCATGGCATCAGTTCATTATCCTGTGTATGTGCGTCTACTGACCATATAGGAAAGCTGCTACTTGCTATTGTAGCCTATAATTCCACCTCACCAGTAGATACAGCAAATGAGGGAAGTGGTCCAATCATCTCACTGCTTTTTAGCCTGACTATTGTTAAAAGCATCACCAGCATGGAAAGTAGAGCACTCAATAACTCCGATGACGATGCATTTGGGACCTTTACATTATGAGAAACAGGACAGTAGCTCCCATGCTGCTCTAAACTGACCTCTAACCCCCTCTGCATCCTGTACATGCCTTTCTTGACCTTTCTATCTGGCTTGAGTACGACCCACATTAGGTAAATGTAACAGTATGTCTTGGCTCCTGAGTATGCATTGAGCAGCCTCCCAGATGCATTCAGTTGCTGGAGGAGAACCAGGAAATCCAGTTGGTGGCTGAAGAAATACTCTGCAATATTCTACAGTAACTGGAGCTGGGGGAATCCTCAATTCAAAACCCCTCAGCTACACTTCATCAGACGTTCCCAACCTTGACCAGGTAATTCCCTGTGGATGATGCAGGCACATGTATCACTGCCCTAAGTGATGTATCCAGGGTCTGAAAAGCTTAGTCAGTGCAGGTGGAGACACGGCTGACCACTACTGGAAACACTTTATCATGCCCTACGGTGCTTTGTGAAAATATAAATTAGAATCATCCCTGCAGTTGCTAAACTGGAGCTACATTGTGCGCTATGGCCATCTGGAAAAGAGCTCCCTTATTGCCATTGTAGCAGAGTCCGACTGGTTATGTGATATACCCAGATCATATCAACCTTCTAGTCTGTCATCTGCCTGCCTGCCTTCCCAGTCACCAGAATTAATGTTGGCATGGTACATTTTAACAAACCAGGGATAGGTTACAGTTGTATGTTATAACAAATATGTTGAAACTTCACATTTCAGTAATGCTATGGTTAATGTGGGGTTAGGTTCAGACACAAAACTACTTGTTTACGTTAGGAACGGATCTGTTTTGGCTTAAAATACTCACTTTTGGTGGCACAAGCTTGGCTAAAAATACAGTAATGTCTAGATTAGGTACTTTTTATGACACTATTCCAGTAGGAAAGTCAGTGATGTCTCTGTATAAAACAAACACTTGTCGTGGTGGTATCCCCAGTGGAAACACAGTGATGAGATGCTAATAAACAACCACGTTTGGTGACTAAAAAGATGCTTGAAACACAGCGATGACTCACTAAAAACAACTAGTTTGTTGGTCTCAAACACTGGTCTGCAGCCCTGGTGACACCATCTCCTCCAATACCCAATGACAAAGTCAGCTCATATACTAGTTCACCCCTTAACAAAAACATTGCTATGATATGTTATAAAACGTACAATGTAACATATCCATGGTTTGCAGAAATGTGCAACGCCAATATTTTCTTGGCTTTGACTGGGAAGATGCAAATATGGGGGCAGCTACAAGAATTGACTTTTTGCTAAGCCCTGCCCCTTTGTGATGGTCCAACAAGCTGTTGGAGTAAGCATGGAGCCCAAATTACAACAGTGCTTCCTAAAGAAATATGATCATATTTTGGAAAAATTAAACAGTGATTCCAGAGAGAAGCAGACAGAGGGGTCTACAGTCTGTGTTTGAAAGATATATCCAGGATGTCAAACTGACTCAGCAGCAACAACAGGTTAAAAAGACAAAGATAGTTAGAAGCTAAAGCCGAACTATAGGCTACAGACCACAGTGTAAAAGTGAACCTCCACAACACTGGTGATCGCCAATGCTGAATCAGTGTGTACAGATAAACGGTGTTTGGCTTCACCGCCGTGCTGCTGCCACTACCCGGACATCTGCCGCTGGACGGGCAGGGATCTCTGGGAGAAGTCACACAAGTTTCCCTGCTTCCCTTCACTGGTTCCTATACAGCAGGGTTGGCCTTTTTTCTTTTCACTGTTATAATCATTAAAAAGCCAAAGCAGCACGTGTATACACTAGGCTATATCTTCAGTAGCTAGCTAACCCTACACTTTTCAGGGTTTGATTTTGGTTTTGGAACAGGGAAGAAACGTGTATCTTTTTCCAACCTCTCCAGGTAACGAGTATCATTAATACACGACGTGCCCCAGGCACAACATTTAGCTCCAAATCCACAAAACCAGCCTGAAACGACTGCATTAGAGTCAATGGAGCACAGCTGTGTTGTTGTCAGATCCTGGTCTGAACCGGCCCAATGCTGAAACAAGAGAAACAAGCAGAAAAAAATACTTGTTGATGTTCTTTTCATGCTTAGTTTTCTGTCGTGCCAATAACTGACAGTTCAATAAAAAATGTTCCTGAACTTATCCTATCAAGCTTTGGACAGCTGCGTAACTACCTAATAAACCCACAAGATCCCATTTGGATACCAAACTATCCCAAACATATTCTTTCCTGTTTTTTATGCCTCACCTGCACTCCTTCCTCAACGCAGTTATTTTCTTCCTTTTTCCCTGCCCTCTCTCTAGATGTCCACCTATGCGCTCGGTCCCACCCTGACAGATGTTATCAATTTAGGCTTTAGCCAGAGAAACCATTAAGGGTCCCAGACAGAGACGCAGAGGAGAGGGGATTAGCGAGACGCTGCGGAGCGAGAATGATATGGGTGATAAAACCGCTGATCATTCCACTTTACAGAGACTGTTTTTTACGTGGTGTCAGCTCTCTTTGCTCGTTCTGTGCAGCGCTCGTGGCTCTATAGATCCTCACTCTCCCTTCGCCTCAGCTTTATTTGCGTAATTTCCAGAGGAGCAACAGATGAGACCGGAGAGGCATGGGTGAGCTGGAAATAGGATCATTACTTAAGTGTAAGATAGTCTCTCATTTAATTTGTGATTTATTGTGAGTGTACCTGTATCAGCACCTGTGCGCCTGCGTTTAGTCATTATACTGTATACACACAGATATTTATGGTTCAATTTGTGCATGCGTGTAATCTTCAATATTTCTTCCTGCATGCTTGCTGCTGCGATGAGGGGAGTCAGAGAGGCAGAGCAGCAGCGTGTGATTACACAGTCGAGGAAAAAGAAGAATGAGGTGAGATGAGTGTGTTGCTCTTCACCACTTGACTGTTCCACACTTCTGGACATGAACACTTGGAGCCAGGTCAGAGGGTAAATATAGGCTGACTGTGTGAAAACTGCACAGCCAGCACTTACTCTTAGAGGTGAGGAAGGAAGGACAGGTGGGGGCAACCCTTCTATCAGAGGATAGGAGAGAAGTGCAAATGCAGACTTTACAGCTGGGTAATTCACCGCTTTGTTGTTGCAGGAAGTCACTCTAACAAGTGCATTGCATGCATCTTAATGAGCAATGCAATCTAGCAGTTTCCCCTGGCGGTGTAGTCTTGTTTATTATGGTGCAGACACATCTTTCCTGGGAGCGACACCCTATAAGCACCACCACACTCACTAACACATACAGTGCATATATTCACACATAATTAAGGGCTTTCCAAAAGACTGGGTATTTGATATCAAGATGAAACCTCCTGAAACATTTTAATGTGAGCAATGGAGGTCTTAAACAGCCAAAGACATTTGGAGCGCTGCCAACTAATAGTCGACCAAACGTTAGTCAACCAGTATCGTCATTAGTCAGCAAGATTTCATTAGTCACTCAGGAAAAAAAGTGAAACTATATTAGGAGTTGCACCTTGTCAAAATAAATCAAAACCTACTGTATATGACTGGACCATGTGGGAATTTACTTTGAAAGGACAGACACAGGAAGAGGCCACACTCAGCAGTCAGACAGAAGTCACGGCTGACCGCCCGACTCGGACTTTCGCCACCTTAACTTTTGTTCTTGTCATGCCGCGTTTCCCCCGACGCCACACCGTTAAACTACAATGGCGACCGTGTATTATGCTGACGTTAAAGGGCGACATTTTTTGCCAGTGTCTGATGCAGCAAGTCACTGCCCAAGTGCCGGGTTTGGGTTGAAATAAGTATGTTTGCTATGGGGTTATGGTTCAGTGTTATATAACGTGACATAAATACGTTGTACTTGATGTGCTTATGTTACTCTTGGTTTTACATGGGACACAAACAGCGGTCTCCTGGGTCAAAGTCCTGTGTTTATTCGACCAATCCACCACCCTGACTACCTCCCCACATGGATTTTCTCACTCCTTATACTATGTCAGCTCCTCAGAGCATCAAATATCACTGTGGATAGGTTGACATTGGAGTTAGCTGAAAATCTAGTGGGACTCATCACGCCAAAGGGAGCCTTGCGCATCAATATCAGATGCCGAAGGGCATGGCAATGTGTCAGTATTTGACACCTTGGGAGTTGGACCTTTCACCCCCTTAACAACAACATTGTTGTCCAACTATGTTTCCCAATGCATCAGAGTCCACTTGTCAGCCACGTGGTTGTTTAGTCAGCACCAGAGTTTGATTGACAGCTTTCACAGCAGCCTAAACAAACCAAATCAAATTGTCCAACATATCCGAGAATGTCGGAACTGAACCAAACACATTTGGTGTGAAAGATGACTAAACTTAGCCTCAAGGTAACGCAGAGGCAGAAAGCATCATTTTGGAGTAACTCATTATTCACAGTACACAGTTATTGTGTCATTGTCACTGCCATCACCTCTCAACCAAGCAACAGCTTCAATATATTAGAGTCAGACTAGTCTGATTATATTGGACTGACACTTTCAAGAATCTATACTTCAGTGTCTTTAAATTTGATTACATTTGCCCAAAATGTTTTTTTTTTTCTTAGGGTATGAATAGCCTCTGAAGTAGAATTTATTGTGCGCCATCTTTGGATACTAAAACTGCCCTGCTAATAAAAACTGATTCATGTGTGTTAGCCGCCCCCAATGGCAGTTTGAGGCAGGTTTAATTGCAGACTTCATAGACTGAAACCCTAAAACCTTGTCACACCACACTAGAATGCTTTCTTTGGATAACTATCTGAAATATGATAATTCTAAATTATGTTCATTTGCTGTGGTCAGGACAGAATTTATTTCCATGCGACAATGCTGACTGACCACTTAAATGTTATGAACCGTGAAATTATATCATGGAATTTAATTAAATATGGACAAAATATCACAGTTGTCTGCCGCCATACTGTTTGGAGCTGACAAATCTTTTTTATTTACCCTGTCATCCATTTGCACACAATCACGTTGTCCTGTTTGTAAGGCCATTCAGCAGTGCAACAGAAAGGCAAAGATAAACCCACTGCCGCAACTCTGCAAATGTTGAATTTCTTTTCACCACTGCTCTACAAACACACTCAGAGCCGAGGCTTCTGGAGCCAGTTAGATAATGAATGAGCTCATCTTTGCAACATGTTTGCAATCAACAAGCTGGACACTTAAAGCTCCTCGCCTTGAAAAGGCAATCTGCTGTGGCTAATGTTCAGATTTCAGGATCACCTTTACAAGTCTTTACTAAGGATTAGCCCACAACTGGAAAAAAAAACGCTGAAATAGTCTCTGAACTCCTTTTACTATTCAAGGCCCTTTTAATCCTACTAAAGGCTTGCAGTGTCAAACGAAAGTACTGGGAGGGGAGGAGGAAGACGAGGAGGAGGAGGGGTTCACTGCCACAGATGAAAGCGACACAAGATGACCTGCTCCTGCTCCGGCACAAAAAGATATCTTGACTTTTTATCTGAGGCTAAGCATCGCTGAGCAGTCTCATTTGGGCTATCAAATCAACGGTAAGCTGTACTGTGTGAAAAAGTGCCCTTTCTTCTCCTCTTGTGCAATTAGTGGCAGCTATCAGTTTAGAGGACAGTTTAATTGTGTGCCTTCATTCACGCTGGTTCAATCATTTGTCAACGGCAGACTAAATGCTCTTCTTAATAACATTGTTCATTCAAGGCCAAAGAACATGTTCCACACTCAGTGAATAACAGTACTTCAGAAAAAACATTATTCATATTGTTGAACTTGGTCACATGGACGCTATATTCATCAGCAGAATGCCCAGTATACCTCATCTTTTACATTTAACTTTTATTTTAGTCACAGGCTTCCCCCTTTCATTATCACCACCTCATCATAATCATCATCATCATCGCCACTCAGCTGTGCCCACTTACCTTGCCAGCAGGCACCGACTGTGAGCTGCACGTCAATCTGTGAGGGGTGGATGGGCCAGTCGTCGGTCACCAGGTAGGGGTCATAGGTCACTCCGTCCACATAGAGCGTCACCACCGGGAACTCTACGTTGATGACGTAGTAGTGCCACTCCTTGTCACAGATCTGTCAGAGAGTAGGAAAAAGAGAAAAGAAGAGTGTTGTTAATGGACATGTTTTTGGACCCAGAAAGTCATACATGTTCTAAATAATCATTTAATTATCATGCTGCACAGCTGCCGTGGTTATCAACTTTCAAAGAAGTCGTGTGACACTTAAGGAAGTTTTCTTCCTGAGAGTAAAATTGGAACATTGATACCACTCTGTACACTAAATATGAAGCTACAGCCTACTGAACAGGCCCATCTGGCATGAGTCAGGGGCCACCTCGACTTTACCCACAAAATGTCACTCACAATAACTTGTACTGACAAGGAGGAGACCCAAAAAGACCACAAAGAGATGCACAGGAACTAACTACAAAAAAATGGGCAAAACAACCACAAAAAGACACAAAACCAGTACAAGAAGACACACAACAATCACAGGGAGGCAAACAATAAATACAAAGACACACAAAATGACAAAAAATGACACAAAATTACATTTAAGAGACACACATTTACCCTAATAACATACAAACTTGCCTCACAGAGAGCAACCACAAAGAGACACAAAATGACCAAACAGACACAACACAATCATAAAAGTGACACAAATCAACCACATGAAGACACACAACAACCACATGGAGGCACACAATGAAAACAAAGAACACAAGAGCCATGAAAGGGCCAAGAAAAAAAACAATACAAAACAACCACAAGGACACACAAAATAACTAACAAGAGACACAAAACTACCAATAAAGAGACACAAAAATACCGTCAAGAGACACAAATTCACCTAAGTAACACACAATATTGCCTCACAGAGACACAAACAACTACAAAGAGACATAAAACAACCACAAGCGACACGAAATGACCAAACAAATTTACCAAAACAACACAACAAAGCAACCGCGAAGCGACACAAAACAACCACGTGGAGGTACAAAATGAAAACAGAGACACAAAATGAGACAAAATCTCCAAAATATTACCACAAAGAGACACAATTTTACCTCGAACAGACACGAAACACGAAATAACAAACAAGAGACACAAAACTACCAATAAAGAGACTCAAATTTACCCCAAAGAGACACATAACAAGCACAAGAAGACAAAAAATAAATACAAAGAGACACAAGATGACCAAAGAGACTCAAAATTGTCTCAATAACACACAAAATGGCCTCACAGAGACACAAACAACTACAAAGAGACATAGAACAACCACAAGAGACACAAAATGGCCGCACAAATTGACCGAAAAAGCACAACAATCTCAAAGAGACACAAAACAACTACATGGAGGCACAAAATGAAAACAGAGACACAAAATGAGACAAAATTGAAAAGAAAATTACCACAAAGAGACACAATTTTACCTCAAATAGACACAAAACTACCAATAAAGAGACACACGTTTACGCCAAAGAGACACATAACAAACGAAATGGCCTCACAGAGACACAAAACAACCACAAAGGGACACAAAATTGCCTCAAAGAGACACAAAACCACCACAAAGTGTCCTGCTCCATATCTGTGCCCAGGGGCCCATTGTCTCATAATCCCCCTATGGCTACAGCCAGCAGTTGGTTGGCTTAGTTTAGCATAAATACTGGGACAGGGAGAAACAGCTGGCCTGGCTCTGTCTAAAGGTGACAAAATTCATCTACCAGCACCTCTAATATCTTAAAATCCTCTTGTGATGTGGTGTCACTGCATCAAAAAAGAAACAAAAAGAAACAATCAATGTACTCCTAATGGAAGGAAGTTAAAACAGCCCTTATGCCATTATCCTGCACAAAGAACAACTCAAAGGCTGACAACACTGAAAACCATTTTGGCCTCGGTCCTCCTGAGGGAATACAAAGCTCCTTGATCCTCCCAAAAAACAATCTACTGAACTGATGTCATTCTAATGTGATGTGGAAACACTTACAGTGTGCTGGAGACAGCAGACTGATTGACACAAAATTAATCACTGATGGTGATGTAACTGGCCTTTTTTTTTTGGGTATATAGGGTTTTAAATAGGGGCGATGATGTGTGTGTCAAATTGGTAGACGTGTACAGATTATTCTCTGATGCAGCACCGTCCATTGTCCCCTTTGTTTTTAAATCCCGTAAGGAGAAACCCACAAAGTCTTTGTTGGGCATGTCTGTTTTTCCTCAGGTACATGACAGTGATTATTTTTACATCCATTCAGGTGAGAGAAAAATAAACAAAAAAGAAGCACACACACTCACGCACCAGCCCACACTTGGACAAATGGGAAAACACACACATTCACACTTGAACTCCACCAGTGGATTGATGTTTTTTTCCATGGGCATGACCTCCTACTACTTTAGCTCTGCTATTCCTCTGTTAATCCTTCTCTTTTTATCATAGAAATGTGTTAAAGGTGTAGTTTTTTTTGGCAGAGCACTTGTAACAGTGATAGATGGTGGTTTTTATTATTTTAACTTTGAGTGCTACCCAGCAATCCTGCAAAGTGCCATTATTAAATCAAATGTCTTGTCCTTTTTACGCTGCTGATGTGAATCTACATTATGTTGTCTCAGTTTGGAGGGATGTTTTTTTCTGTCGCAGCTCCACCTTGTGATTTATTGCGAAACAACAGCAGTATATTTTGCATTCATTCTTGGCTTGTGAAGTTTTAAAGCCGAATGCTCTCCCCTGTGCTTAGCACTCACTGGAATGCATTCGCACATTACCTGTTTAACCTCTTCTGAAAAATGCTTGACTGTGCCACTCTTCAGCATGCTTGACCATTTACCCTGCCTTGCCGTGCATTTTAATTGACTGCACAAGCCCACTGGTGCCTGTCTGCGTGTCTCGGAGCATATCTGTCCCTCCTTCCTCTCTTTCTGCTTTAGGCTATGCTTCACCTCAGCGTTGCCAACACTCATCGGGCCGTACTTCATCTCTCACTCTCGACTCTTCTGATACAACCTGGGACAGCCTTTGAACACTTAGCCTTGAGTAACCTCTTTCTCTAATGAAGAACGCCGCGCAGCCTGCTTATTAACACCATGCTAGCGCAGCAGATGGGAGCGCTAATCAATCTGGTCCATTTTCGCTGCTATTGAGGTGCGAGATACAACATCTGGCCTATTGGTGATCATTCCGCACAGCTGCTTAACACATATGCGGCATGTCGATGTGTTGAGTCAGTGCTCCGAATCAATGGGGGGATAATCTGATTGTGGGTTTGATGGTAGTGCAGATGTGAATAACACTGATGGGACTGACTTTGATTGGCTTGTTAGGTTGTTAGGACATACCTAAACACAGGGGAGCCATGCACCTGCAGTTCCTATGCATTGTGCACACAAGTTAGATATGATTTCAATGTGTCTCCAGGATACATTCATAATACATATTGCACTTGGCTTGTGCTCCTAATCCTAAACGTCGCCCTTGCATTATCACCGGGATCACATATATTTTCTTTCTCAGTCTCGTCACATCTCATTAATCATGTGCCAAGTGTAAAACATTCTCATGCACACACACTAATCCCTCTGACATTTACACATGCAGACTATCTCCTCCCCATGCTCTGCTGCTTCTTCCCTGTTTTTCGCTGTTCAGTATTTCAAAGAGAGCTCGGGCCCATGTGGGATCTGACTGCCTAGTGGGTGACTTCCTCATACAGGCTTCAAAGGGGAGACAGCAAGGCGCTCTTGCCTGAGAGGAGTCTGCCTCTGCCGGGTTGGGATATCAGTTGGAGATCTCTCTCAGGGAGTAGAAGGAGGGAGAGAATTATGTAGCCACACATGTCAATACTACTTTGTAATGCAGAGGATGAGCCTGTGACTAGGGTAAGGCTGACGTGGGTGTTTGAAGAGCGAGGTGGATACCAGTTTTCTTGGTGTTAGGCTGCTGATAGCTAATATTAAGTTCAAACATAAATCTTGTGCCTTACCAGTTAAAAATGGTACGAAAATAATAAAAAGTAACTATAGAACTGAGTTATTATATCAAGGACACTTTTAGCCTGACCACTTGACAAGCCACAAACAGAAGCAATGCATGATGACATATACTGGCTCACATTTAGCATTGCATGCCTACAGAGTTACCTGTCTAATTCTAATCAGCAATCCACATTCAGTGTTTTCTAAAGCATTTGCAGAGAGTTTTCGATGTCTGTCTCAGGGAGGAGATCTGCCTCTGTTTTGAATACACTGGTGGATACACTGTGGCTGATGCACAACACTGTCTCTTCAAAACAGCAGTCAGTATAGGTGTGCATAGGGACTACCAAACAGAGGTCAGAGATGTTGTGAATTGAATGAATGGATAGTGATACCTCATGTCTGGTTTGAATTTGGGTTATGGGACAGGTTTTGGGTTGAGCATCAGTTTAAGTTACGCTAAGTCACTTTCTTACAGTGACAGTGTGACAATGAGATATCTATTTAAGGTAGTCTAAATTTCGTCTTGCATCAATAACAAACAGGCAATGTCTAATGATAGCTGCCATTGATGTACTGCTATTATCAATATCTCTACCCTCCTGATTGACAAAGTATGACATAGACTTTAGTATGTGGAGTTTTAGTATGTAGAACCTTGCCTGCAAGCAGAGACTGGTATGTCTTAAAATGGCTGCTATACAGAAAGATTTTCTCCATTGATTTAGGTAGCAGCATGGCTTTATGATCACCCCTGGTCCAACTCTCAAGTCATCAAATACCGCTGCTTTGTCACAACCTTCGCCATCCGATATTGATGCACACAGGGGCGGAAATCCCGGGGGGGACAGGGGGGACATGACTCCCCCTTCAGTAAAGCTGTACCCCCCTAGAATCATTTGAGACACAATTAATAATTTTTGAACAATGCAGTAGTATTTATTGAAAGCACAATGTAAGCGGTGCTCATTATAATCGTGCAATAATGTGCTATTTAAATCTTA